TCCAAGCGTCTTTTTTAAGATTCTCGGTCGCGCCTTTGGAACAGATTTCGTGCGAGGAGGCGACAGGTGAAAGAGGGCTTTTCTGGCGCTATTCTTTTGCCAACGTTACTTTTTCTGCCTTTGCTCGAATCTCTTATTCGTTCCTCTGGGACAAAGAACGAAGAAGCGCACACAGACTGCTTAAAAGTGTGTCAATTTCATTCGGGGTTTCTCTACCCTTTTTCCTTGACCCGAAATACCGAGAAGACGAGGCTCACCTTCCTTTTCTCACTTTCCACGATTTGAATTGAACGTGGAAAGTGAGAAAAGGAAGCCAAGATTTTTTTTTTTGCTGCGCAATATACATGACAAGAGTGCTTTTGATTATAGACCTTATCGATTCTATCAAGCACCTAAAATATTTAGAAAAAAGTTTCCTGCCGAATTTAAGACCTGCTTCATTAAATGTACGAGAAAAACTTTTGAAAGTCGGGATTCAAAAGATGCATCTCGTTTTAAAATCGTGTTGCATCCTTTGCACCTAAAATATTTAGAAAAAAGTTTCCTGCCGAATTTAAGACCTGCTTCATTAAATGTACGAGAAAAACTTTTGAAAGTCGGGATTCAAAAGATGCATCTCGTTTTAAAATCGTGTTGCATCCTTTAGCAAAGCATTGCGCAAGAAAATTGCGAAATAAAGGTTTCACACTAATTGAAAAATTTCAGAACAAATGATCATATTGAGTTGGATTCACCTGAGAAAACAGTTATATGGTGAAATCTGAGACTCTTTCTCATATTTTCACTGCAGCTGGAAATTAGAAAACAGTAATAGAATTCAAGACAGATTAGAAGGACACCGCTTATAGGAATGTCTAAATCCATCCAGAATTCCATGGGACTGAGTTTGACCTTGAGTTCCCATGGGTGTGGTCCAAAAGCCCCAATGCCAAAAGCCCCCCCCCCCCCCTAGATCAAAAGCCTCCCCCCCTGCCAAAAGCCCCCCTTGGTGCAAAAATTTCCATGGGACTGAGTTTGACCTTGAGTTCCCATGGGTGTGGTCCAAAAGCCCCCATCCCAAAACCCCCCCCCCCCCCCTAGATCAAAAGCCTCCCCCCCTGCCAAAAGCCCCCCTTGGTGCAAAAATTGGGAATTACAGGTCTCCTTGTAACTCTTGATGATAAGCTGCACCTTTCACCAGCACGCCCAGCACAAGGCCAAGTACCAATATGTTTGTAAGTTGAGTATATATTTTTGCACCAAGGGGGGCTTTTGGCAGGGGGGGAGGCTTTTGATCTAGGGGGGGGGGGGGGCTTTTGGCATTGGGGCTTTTGGACCACACCCATGGGAACTCAAGGTCAAACTCAGTCCCATGGAGTTTGGATTCTAGGGGATTTCCTAAAAGGGGATAAGAACCTTTCAGGGACAGAGTTTCCCAAAGAAAATGAGTTCAAATATTAAAGAGTTCATATGTATTATCATCAGTTGCTCTGGGTCAGTCTCATGCAAAAGACTATTGCGTTTTATTGACCTGCTGCATTGCAATCATCATATTTCTGTGCCTTTGATTTCAAATATACCAACCTTACACTAGGGTGTAAAGCACCCCAGCCATAGCCCAGCTGATTGTCACTTTCTTTTTATTCCTAAGATTTCCAATTCAAAGATTCAAAGCTTTTATTCTGAATTCCAAAGCACTGTTTCCAACAACTGCTCAGCAAGGCTTGTTTTCAAAGATTGGTTTTATTGGGATTTGAAGTTTGGTTTCAGCAGAAGTAATACAGGGTATTTTTAATGAGTGAAAAGGGAATGTTTCACAATCAAGTGCGTAATCATTCTTTAAAAAAAACCAAAGCCAGCCTTTCCCAGTGCGAATATAATACGCGTTTTTATTTTATTAAATAATCCGATTTCCGTTAGAAAAGTCAATGGCGAATTTGTAAAAAGATCGTAGTTCTGAGCTTTTATCAATGAACTGGATTTGTTTTGCAAGTCTATATGAACGTGTATTGAAAGGCGCTGGTCCCTTCTTTTGAAAGCAAATTATTGCATCACATTCTGAAAATGCGATTGACAGACGCAACGGTTTCCGTGTATTGAAACTTTCTGTGCTGTTTTCCTCAAATCTGTACTTGCTATGAAAGTGCCAAACGCTGGTTCTCCAGCACTAGGCGTTTGTCTCTCAACTGGTAAAGCAGAAAAGCAGCTAAACCAATGATCAATTATGCAACTTCCGTGTTCGGATAAAAAGAGCAGACCCTATTACACAGTTGGTTGGCTTCCCGATCATAAACCTCAAGTTTTAATATTGAAGCAGGGCTCACGGAAAAAAATTCGGATTATTCAAGAGAAAGTGGAAAAGTGAATCACTTCATGCTGTCCCACGTGACTTTGATCATCGAGCCTCTGAGACTCGGAAAACCTCGGTTCAGGCGAATTGCTCTTGCTTTACTTCGACGAAAAACAGCAGTTATAGGGATTTTAATAAAGAGACAATCACGACACGTTCGATACCGCTGCCGTAGTTGCTCAACTGCAATTTTTCGTCAATTTTTTCCGAATTTCCTGGCTCTCTTAAATTCACCTTGTAGGCGGAATTGGAAAATGTTATAATCCCTCATGTACAAGCTCCTGGATTTTAAAAATCGCTCCTACAGGCAATCAACTCCATAACAGCGTGAATATGTTTTCCTTGTCTAAAAACCACAGACTGGAAATTTAAGAAAGGGTCATAAAAAGTTTTAATGTTTTAGCCCCCACGCTTGATGAGAAAATACTTGGTTCACTTCCGTACCAAGCAAAACATTGTGAACAATTTTTGAAAAAAATTTTCTGGTTCCCTGCTTTTATTTGGAGTACCCCGATGGGGCAAAAAATATTACGCTTAGAACATTGTTGTAGAGAGTGTACTTGTAAAAACAGTGGACTGACGGAAAACGTTGCAGATAAAGTCAGGTAAACTGTGTCAAGATATTCTCTGTTCATTGACAGAAAATTCAGGGGAACAGAAAAAGCTTGTTGTGCAGAGGATTTTGTTCTAGAGAGTTCGCCTGCTGAAGCATGCCTTTCATGGAAGGAAGAATGTTCAGGAATGGATAAAAAAAAACAGTCCTTCAAAAGTTCCTTAAAGCAGATAATGAATTTATGGTGCACAGTCAAGGGGTATCCAGCCAAACATGGTATCATGCGAAGGATTTTAATTATTTTTTAAATTTATCATAAGAGCAAGTCACATGTTGAAGGTTCAAAAATAGTCTTTTACTTTGTGCTCATGCTCTATTTGTGAACTGAAACGGTGAACTTCAAGTCACCAATACTTGCTTCCTTCACTTTAATAAAAAAACATAGTGGGGTCTTGGTTTACAAATGCTCTGGCTTTGCAACTTTCCAGCCAACAAACTTTGGTTTTTGGCCTGAGAAGCTAACAAGCCATAACTCAGCTTACAAATGTTCTAATAAAATTTTGTTTTATTCCTAAGGCCTTGGTCTGCATGTGAACATCTTTGTGGCATAGCATTGAAAATTCAACAGAAAAATCTTATGGACAAATTCAGATTAAAGTGTCATGAAACAAGAAGAATTGTTATTCATGAAAATGCACAGGAAGAGGTAAATGAAAATTATGATGTCACACACGCAAAACAAGAAGTGTTACAGAAGTAAAACAAATTTCTCCCAAATTTCTGGCAAATGCTCAGAAAAAAACAACCGTCAAGGACTTGTTCTACTGCTAAAAGTTTATCTCATATTGTCTCAAACATTATTGGATTTTAGGCATGAGAAAAATATATCAGGAAACATTTTCTCAAATCTCATGGTTACTTGCAAGGTTCTGGAACCGATTGAAATTATTTTTATACTTCAAGGGAAAATGTGATTTGGCTGACAAGCTAATCAGCTAACAAAATTTGGTCAGGAACCAATTAAGTTTGTTAGCTGCGATCCCACTACATCTATAAATGCTTTGTTCATTCAAAGTCTTTTGTTGAGTTTTCTTGTCCTGAGAGTTTTCGCGTTGACGAAGCTAAAGTGTCGAAGCGCCCTCACTTTTAATTTGAAAAGTATGTTAAGCCTCGAAGAATTTAGTTTAAGAAAGTAAAGTTCGGTCGGTGCGTATTAAAGAGCAGTTATTCGAAACTGTTTTGGGCTCCTTTGCTTTCCCGATAAGGTAGCTGTGGCTTTTTATGTTTGATTGTAAGATGTTTTTTGTCGTGAATCTTGTTGTTGATTAGGCCGTGTTTACCGTGCTGACGCAGTAGGTATTTCTCGAAAAAAAACATGGCAACATCACCTTACACTCGGTTCATCATAAACTCGAAAAAAAAATCATCCACGCCGTACAAATAATTTCTTGATCGCTTGACCTAAATGAACCGTGGAACACGTATCACATTCTTGTCCTCTCCAAACATTTTTTACCTAACCCCCACATTTTTTCGGACACAATTTGGACCATCCACAGGGCCCACATTCGATGCTGAAAAGCTCTCGTCGTTCCCTCGTTTTACACAAATAAAAAACCCGACAAATTTCCCCCATTGTCCAAACCAACGCGATGCTGATGAGTGAGGTCACTTCCAATCCATTCTCAATTTTTAAGATCAAAGGACTCGAAAGGGGTTTATAGACTTGGAACGAAAGGAATATCGTCAATCCTTCAGGAGAACATACAACAACGTTTCTCAACGTTTCAGGGAGCAATTTCATGCACCGAAAAAACTTCTTCGGGAAGCACGATATGAAATAATCACACCGAGTTAAACTACAAAATTATAATATAGATCGATTGAGACTCATGTTGCAAACACAGTTCAGCTTAAATATTGATTTGTGTAGACCGCGTTCCGATGAAGTCTTTCAAACTAATCGCGCTCAAAACCCTAAAAGAAAAGTTAATCAAATTAGTACTGATGAGGAAAATTGCTATCGCTTAATAGCAGTCGAATATCTTTTACCGCGCGTCTTAAATTAAGCGTTTAGCCAGTGCGCGCGTGACGTCATTTTAGAGAAGTGTTGCTACCTCGTTACAACGAAAAATCGAGTACAGTTCAACGAATTCGTTTTTTAAGTCACACACCAATAACTGCAATTTTTTGAGTTAGCTTATAACGAATTTTTGCATGATAACGAAGCCATTTATTGGTCGAAATGGCGACGAATCTCGTTATAACGAATAAAAGACTAAAACGAATCCGTTTTTTGGGTCTCTAACCAAAAATTGGATTTTTTCTAGTTCACATTTAACGCATTTTTATCGGTAACGAAGCTATTTTACTGGTCGAAATGGCTTCGTTGTAACGAGATTTTACTGCTTTTCAAATTACTCTGCCTGGGCGTCTGTCAGTCAGAAAATCCCAGGAATAATAGGAAAAAAGTACCAGTAAATCAGCCAAATTCAGTGAAAATGGTTCACCTTTCATTTGTCCGGGAAAATGTCGATGCCTTGAGGGCTCTTTGAAAAAAAAACCGCTAATCTAGGTCATGGACGTCAACGGGTTGGACGTGACCCTCACTCATGCTGGGGACGATGCCAAAAAAAAAAAAAAAAACTGTCGTTTTTTCCCGTTATCACAGAGTGCGAAATAATCTGAGAAAGATGCCTTTCTTGATCCTGTCGTCATCGAGTGAGTCCTAGAATACACATTGCAGCCAGCGATTCTGCCCGAGTGTCATCACAACGAGACGCGAACGCGGAAGCAGGAAGAACTTCCGACGTCTTCGTTTTTTTTCCCTCATAAATCATCAATGATTTTTGTGTGACTCGAATTACGTCAGGAAAGTTTCAGTTCCGTATCGAGATGTCGTTTCCTGTGCCCGAACCCAGCGGATACGTCTTGAAGAAGTCCAAGTCCAGCAGTGTTCGGGTGGTTCTTCGCACCAGCTCGTCCTTGAACTTCCAGATGTTGGTGTCCGTCACCTGTGATGGGGGAAATTATAGCCACTCATTAGCATGTGGGAAAGAAAACCGCTCTTGGAATGGAGCTGGAAATGACCTGAAACACGTCAAGGTATCCCAAGAAAAAAAGGCAAAAATTCGGCTTGCGGCAGCTAAGAACAAGTGAGTCAATTACGTCACAATCTCATGGATAAAATTCAATTACACCCCGACATGCGGACGCCCCGACGTACAGACGATTCGACTTAGGGATACACGATAACTCAAAATATCTGCCCCTAAATCCTGAAAATTTCTAGAGAAACGGACACTTGATCGAACATTTTTCGAAAGAAGGGGACATTTTAGTTTCCGAAACTTTGATACGTCTTGAAAAAATCCGGCTTTCCTATTTACAGAAATTCAAAGGAAATTTGATTATAAATTCACTATAGTTCATAATTTGTGGCACACAGGGCTGACCGTGTGCTTTATTCAGTTCTTTCTACCATCAGAGCACTTGATAGGAGGATTTGTGCTTGTTCTTGGCTTTTCGAGATCTCTTTTATGCCACAAAAATCAGATTACGGGCGTTTTTCTTCTGCACTGTTTCTTTCTGTACTTTGAAGTTTAGAAAAATTATTTTATTCTAATGTTTGAGCGGCTTTTCCCCAAATTTTCATCAACTGTAGAACCAATTAAATATGCAGTATTCTGACATGAGGACCAGGACCAAGGACAAAGCATGTCCGCATCTCGGGGTCCCACTCGTTAATTATTTCTAAATACTGGAAAGTTATTGTGTATTGATGCATCAATATATACCATGCACAATGAGCAATTTAATTTTTTAAAGCCAATCCTGGGCCCTTCATTGTTCTTGGGAAATTGCTTTTACAGTACTTTCTGCAAAAACCACAGTTATGTTTTTATAAGAGCACAATAATAAAATTCGAAACAATTTGTAAATGAAGGTGTTCCATTTGAAAAATAGATTAAAATACTTTACTATAATTTACATAACAAGCGAAGTAAAATAATGTAGGTTTGGTAATCGCAGATTTGGAAAACAAGCGATACAGAGCTTCTGATATCCTAATTAAGTACACAACATACTAAAGTCCATATTCATGGAGTTTGTTCTACATTACCAGCAGAATTTCTTACAAAAATGTATACTGCATCAAAAACTATATGCAGTACCGTACATTCGGTGTCAATAAGACAAAGAAAATCGCGAAACTATAACTAAGCTAAAAATCGTCAAATTTGTCTTCAATAATCGAAATGATGATTAGAATATCGTAGACGTTTACATGAATCAATATCTGAATATTCATTAACCAGCAAAAGGGCACCTCAAGGATCAACGTTGATTATTTCTAATGGGTCGATCTCAGGGTGAAAATTAAAAACCTGAATTCGACGATTTTCAGTACCTTTGAAATATGCACTGATAATTTTTGCTCAAGGGTCACCATAACTTCAACACCAGCTTAAAACTCTTTCAAATTTGAAAATCAAACTTGAACCCGACGTATGTTCTTCTCGCACGAACCTTATTATAAAAGTCGAGAGGATCTTGATCACAAGTTTTAGCCAAAACTAAAAATACCCTCTTTTTCAGAGAGAAGAAAGCTGTAAAAAAAATTTTAATGCTGAAGCCGACGTATTTCCCCCGAGAATCAACGGTTAATTCCTTCGCAGCCCGGAAGAGAAAAAGTTTCACACCTGAATCCGAAGTATTTCTATTCTCGAGAACAGATACTTTCTGCAGAACTTTGAACGGAATCCGTCAAAAGTTCTTTGAAGAGGCAAAACTATTGCACAAATATACACCCTCTTCCGAAATCCGGTGTTCTGGGTTTAGCAATAAGCGCGGAAGTCTGACGAACTGCTGAGTCTTTGATTTACGGGCTTACATTTGCATTCCAATCAATCTTGTGACTGTGACCCACAAACCAGAAGAGCAGGCACTGAATTTGATGAACCATATTCTGATCACACCTATATTTTTTGGGAAAAGGAATTCAATTTCTTCAATGCAAGAAGATTGCAAAACGGGAAGTACAGAAAATAATATGAAGGCCTTGAACTACTTCTCGCAGAATTGGGCTTTCTTCTGAATGATTATTTTTGAAGTAAGACAGTTACATATTTCCTGAAACAGTAGGACCTTAGAGTTAAAAATTACATGTCAAATTTCTGTTTGGTCCCTGTCTGAAGTCCCCTATGTTGAAAAATGTTACACAGAACTCCATAACTCAAAGCATTTCCTTTTCAAACCTCTGTAACTTAAATTGTGAGAGGCCTTTATTACTCCAAAGACCCATGAATAAATTTTCATTATCAAATTCAAGATGCAGGAAATGACTCTGCAAAATAAAACCACACAGAATCTGATCTTTTGGCATCAGAAAAACCTCAAGATGGAAAGAAGAAGAACAGGTCTAGCTATTCTTAGCAAACATGAGAGAAAAAAACTCTGGAAAAATAAGCAAAAATTTGGACTGTTTTTGATTATAATTTTGAATACAGTGGGACCCGAAATGCGGACGTAAGTTGCTCGGATCTTGTCCCCATGTTAAAATGTCCGCATGTCGGATCTTGTTTTCTCGCAGAATATGTAATAGGTTCACCTTTTCATAACAATTACAGTACTGTATTACGAATACAATCCTAAAAAATTGAATCAAATGTTTCTCAACTTCAAGAACACGAAAATAAATAATGTACAGTATACAGAAGAAATAAAAATTACATCTTATGGAAACCAAAGGAGCTCAAGATGCGAAGAACAAGAATTAGTCCAGCACACATAATGACAAAAACTCAAAAAAAAGAAGCCCGAAATTGACCTGTTTTTGATTATGAATTGGAGTAATTTTACAATGAAATTTACTTTCAGCTTTTTTTTTTCATGAACAGCTCAATTTGTTTGAGAGATATACAAATTAAAAAAAAATTCATTTTTCTAGAAATCTTGAAAAAGTGTTCGTATCTTGAGTCACTGTCCAAATATCAGGGGCAGATTTAATTCAGTTACAAGTGTCACTAAGTTGAATTGTCTATTTGTCGGGGCATTCGCACATTCCGGCCCATTGAAATTATATATTGAAAGTTATTGAAAAATGTTGTGAATATAAGTACTATACCATAGCTCAATTTGTTCAAGAAATACTGTATCAACATTTACAAGAATAAGATTTTTCGATTTTTATAAAAATTTTGGAAAAGTGTCCGTATTTTGCGACATTGTCTGGATGGGGTTCGGGGCTAATTTTATAAGTGTCCTTAAGTTAAATCGTTTTTGGTGCAATTAAATAATACAGCTCAATTCATTCAAGAAATATCAAAATAAAGTAAAGATAATTTTTTATTTTCAGGGAAATTTCGGAAAAGTGTCCGTATTTTGAGACATTGTCTGGATGGGGGTTGGGGCAGAATTTTCGAGTGTCCCGAAGTCGAATTGTTCTCATGAGAGTCGGGGTCTCACGGCACTGTTTTGTGTTGGATCATTTCCTGACCTCTGCCTCTTTTTTTTTTCTTTTTGAAAAATAGGCAGGTTGAAACAGAAAGTCGGAGGAAGGGCAAAAAGAAGAAGAAAGAAACGCTCTTTACCGTGTGATTCTTCAGGTCCTCGCAGGTCTTCTTGAGCTGCTTGACGCAGTCGGCGCGATAATGCTGCAATTGCGCCAAATGCGTCGGGATGGAATACGACGTACAGGCCTTTTCCAGACACGCCAGGGGAAAGTGGTTGTGCAGCGTCAACACGCGCTCGGGATTATGGAAACACTTGACAAACTGGCCAGCCTTGGTGAAGTTGTACGTCCGCTGCACGTGCTGCAACATGTGCATGTACTTGGGCATGTCCCGGTACCAGCCGTGCTCGTGCAACAAGTCGTCGAGAAAGTACACGTTGCGCACGTTGTACGAGGCCCGCGACTCGTTCTTCGCCGCGAGGGACTCGGGGATCACGTGTTTGTCCATCAGGTCCTTCCAGGACATCTCGTTGACGGGCATGATGACTTCGTCAGTGTCCAGGAGGGCCAGGTACTTGTAGCGGTACATGTTCTTGTACAGGCAGTCGTTGTAGGGGATGATCTCGTTCTGGCGCTTGTGGCTCACTTTGGTCTTCAAGTACATGTGCATGAAGCCCGGGATGTTGGGCTGGCCGCCGGGCAGCGTCAAAGGCGTCAGGTCGACCAAGCCTTTTTGTTCGTAGTACCTTTTTTGGGGGGGAGAAGGAGGAGGAGGAATAAAATGAGAAGCGAAATCGAATCAAACCATCATCATACAGTATTTTAGTAAATTCATCGGGAGGAATTACAGTGGGAGGAGGAGCCCTGAGATGCGGACGCACTTGGTGCTCGGAACTTGACCCTCTCACTTTCTTTATTAAGGAACTTCTAATCTTCAACACCTTATGTCGGAATATCCGTACGTCGGAACACGTTTTCCCATAGACTTCTACAGGAGAATATTTAATTGGTTCTCCTGTTCCATCAACAATTAGAAATTAAGTCCCCAAATAATTTAATAGAGTTTTTTCTCAATTTGAAGACACAGAAAATAACTGTGCAGTTATATTCTTGGAATCAGAAGGAGTTCTAAGGAGCAAAAAGCAAAAACAAGTCGAGCTATACTCCGCACACATAATCGAAAAAACTCTAAAAACGAAGCCCAAAAATTATAAATTAGAGTATTTTATAGTGAGATTTTATTTTAAAATTTTTTTGAATATAAATACTGTAGCTCATTTTGTTAAGAGGTTTCAAAATGTAAAAAAAAAACAATTTTTTCAACATTTTCTAGAACCGTTTGAAAATTGTCCGTATCTCAAGACAATTTCCACACTTCGCGGCAGATTCTTTCTTTAAGTTCCAAGTGCCCTCAAGTCTAATCGTCCGTACGTCGGGGTCCCACTGTATATTATAGTAGCGCATATTGAACAGCATTTACCCCAAGTTTGAAAAAACCCATTTATCTTGAATTTCGATCAAGTCCGTGTCCAAATTCCATTGGAAACATGTGTAACTTGCACCTCCTCAACCTTGAAATATCTCAACAGTGAGCCTCTTTAATTCGAAATTTCCGAAGACAATGAACGACAGGAAATTCTAAATATGATGATTTTGGAAAGGAAAGGAGCAACAGTAATTGGATACACTATTGTTGGACATACCTTCACTTGAATGAGTTCAAAAAATCACTGATCAGCGAAGTATTTTCAATTCATTAGTCAGAAGGAATGGTCCATAAAGGTCGGTGCTCAAGAACTACTGACACAACGAAAGCCAATTGTATTTTCCCAAAAAAAAATTTCCTGATCACATTTTTGACATGGAAGAAAAAAATTTCCCCTCACAACTCGATGAAAAAAGGATATATCACATTTTTATTTCCCCAATTCTAGTACTATACTGTACTGTACTGAAGGTTGTGCAACTTATGCAAGGGCGAATATTTCGGAGGAAATATAAAAAAAAAGATAGAAATTGGCAGATGTGCTATTGAACCGCAGCGACGTTTCGTCATGAGACTGGCAATTTTTTAAATTGTACAAAAAATCTGTAAACGCCATCGGCAATCATGAAGGTTTAGAATTGTAAACGTCAAACCAAATCTTCCCATGATTCCCCAGCGTGTTTTTGTGTTTATAAGAAGCTTGGTTGGGGTGATTATAATAAATTATATAATCGATGGAATCATTTTTTTTTCGTGTCACGTTTTCAGCTTTCGGACAATTCTTTATGAAGATACCGAAGGCCGATCTGGTTGCGTTCATATCCCGTGAGCGTTTCGTCCAAGATTTGAAAAGCACGAAACATCACGAAAACAGGTTGACTCTCTTTACAAAAAATCTTGAATCCAACGATGTTCTGTGCATAAATAATTATATTTTCGTCTCATGGGGGGTTTTCCCCATATTATAGCGGTTCTCGGACTCTCTGCATTAATGTCCTCTGTACATAAGTTTTTTTTGGTCTCATGGGTTCTCTCCCGATATTATAGGGGTTCTGGGACTCTCTCTACGACGATTTTCTCTATATAACGCAAATTTTTTGTGGTCCAATGAGGTTCAATTCCCGTATTACAGGTGAACTCTCTCTGCAACGAAATTCAAAGGACCAGAAAAATCCGTCGTAGAGAACAACTACTGTAACATGGGAATAAAATCATCCGAGACAACAACAACAAAATTCCTCGTACAGAGAAAATCGTTGTAGAGCGAGTCAAATATATACGATATATATTAGAAGAAAAAAAAATACATTAATATAAATATATATTAGACGAGGAAGAAAAAGTCAGAGAACCCCTAAAGGCAGGTGGACTCGCTCTACAACGATTTTCTCTGTACAACGAATGGTCCCCTTTGGAAAATATTTGTAGACAAGATCTTTGAACAGAGACAGTCCACTTGCCTACAGGGCTTCTCGGACTTTAACTACGACGATTTTCTCTGCAAAAATAATTCATTTTGTTCATCCTACGAGGTTCACTACAAAAAAATTATCGCTGCGACGAATTTTTTCTGGTTTTTTTTTTTAATTTCGTTGACGAGATGAGAGACCATCTGCATTCGGAGCGAAATTATTTCATGATACTGTACCTTTCATAAGAAATTGACACGGAAAACTCTGGATTGCCCAAAAAACTAAAAAAAATGTTCCGTGAAGCAAAAAGGAAGATATTTCAGCTCAAGCCAAAAATGAATCCGGAACTTTCCGGAGAAACATAAGATAAATTGAAACTCGGCAGACGCGGGGAAATGAAGTTGAAGGACTTCGTCGATTTAAAAAAAAAGGAAGACAGAAATAGTGTAATTGGAATAAATATTTTTTTCAAAGAACAAGATGATGATGAGTGGTCGGAAACAGTGATTTTTTACCTGAGTACTTTGGAGATGTTGGGATGCACGGCGAGCTCGTACATGAAAATCTTATCGGCGCCCAGGATGTTGAGCAACTCGATCCACTCGACGAACCGCACCGACAAGTCGTCGTGCAAAAAGTCCAGCCCTTTGACACACACCGCGAATCCCTTCTTCTCGGGCTCCGGCACTTTGTTGTAAATCACCTTCAGCATATTCGTCGCCGTTTCGCAGGGTTTCTCCACCAACGACACGGCTTCCGGCACTTTGTCCACCAACGGGGAATTGTTGGGTATCTTGCACGCAATCAGGTACGGCTGCAAGAGCCCCTGGCGACAATTGCCCCACTTGCATACCCACATGTGCTTGTACTCAATCACGGGCACCACCAGGGGCTTCTTCGTGCCCGGGAACCAGAGTTGGCAGTAGGTTTTCACGGTGGGTTTCACTTTGTCGATCATGCCGACGACGCGGACGACGGGCTTGAGCTTCACCAGGGGTCGGTCGTCGTAGAAGGCCGAGTAGAGGTAGAAGGTGCCGTTGTTGGTCTTGAGGGTTTGCCAGTACATGTTGTTGAACACGAGGTCGTACATGGCGGGCAAGACCCCGCAGGTCTTGTTCAGGCCGTACTGGCTCGTCTTGCCCTTGGTCATGAGCCAAAAGTCGACGGGGAGGTGCGGGTACTTGGCGATCATCTCGTCGGCGAGGTCTTTGTCACTCGACGCCTTCCCGATGGCCGGTTCGAGGTCAACGAGGGACTTGCCGCCCAAAATCTGCCAAGACAAAAATACAGTACATAAAAATAAAATCCATGCGAGAATTAGCAAGAGGTGTTCAGTGGGTGCTGGTACGTTGTCTGCGTCACGTTCTCCGAGCGAATAATGAATTATGCGACGTCATTTCGTGTGCTATGCTTACACATTTTGATGACAAAAAACTCCCAGGGTCCTGATGAAAAATCCGTTATAAACCGAAAAAATCGATATATCAGGTGAACCTCGATAACTCGAACCTCCCTAAGTCGAATACCCCCTAAGTCGAATTTTTTTAAGGTCCCATTTGAATCCCTTTAGAACCAATGGATTAAAAACCTCCCCAAGTCGAAAGCTTTTCCCCTCAAACCTCCATAAGTCGAATTTTCTGTGGCCTGTTGACCATTATTTTCTTGAAAAAAAGGAAGAAAAAAACCAAAAACCCCATAAATTTATGAGTTTTAAAGGAAGTGAAAGACTTAATTTGGCTAATGAACCCATGCCTTCAAGTTCAGCAGCCTTTCAACTCATTTGAGAGGCCATTTTAGCCCCAGAATATTACCATTTACATTTTTTTCTAAGTTTCCCAGAAAACAGGGCTTTGTATTGGAGTTCCAACATATAAAAGTCAAAACCTCCCTAAGTCGAACTTTTTTGCAGGTCCCTTGAAATTCGACTTAGAGAGGTTGGACTCAATAAAACGAAAAATTAGTTATATAGTACTGTACAACGAAAAATTCGTTATGAAACAAAAAATTCGTTGAATTGAGATACATGGTTTCAACACACTTTAGACTGAAATTTAATTACAACAAGCCGTCAGTGAAACGATAGAAAATTCGTTGCATCGAGATTCCTGGGTTCAACCCATTTTAAACTGAAATTTTGCGGGAAATGGGAAATAAATACTGTACTGCAAAGTACTTCTACCACAGATAATCTGAAACCTGTCATGAATATCAAATCTCTCCGATGAAGTGAAGAGGTTTAAAAAAAAATACAGTCCAGAATTCCGTTCCTTTTATTGTATCTACCTTTCTCAAAAAGCGCCACTTGTCTTGAAACATAAAATGGAACAAAAATGATGTGGGACAAAAACTTTCTTCGGATTCAAATATTTCTTTCATACATACCTAACATATGTGAAAAAAGATGACCGTTCTTTGAAATCGAAGAAACGTCTTTCGAACATATTGTTTGTTTGAAAGAAAGGCATACATTCTCGAATGGAACTAAAGAATTTCCAAGAAATATGCCATGTTGTTTACTTTCCTATAGAAACTGGAGGGTCAGACCTGGGATAGTTTCACAAATAAAATTTATCACATATAATAAAGTATTTGAATTTCTGCGTTTTGCATGTACAATACTGTATTCACATGAACTGTCTAAAAATTCTCCAAATAGGCAAACGCGGTGGGTAAACTTGAATATTCACCACAGTGAATTTATGCAACTAAAACACTATTTCTTACCATCGCAACCGTAACTAGAAAAATGTCAATATAACCCAGTAATAATTCCGCCAAGCCTATTCATTCAAAAATAATAATGAAAAAAATTAAGAGGTACTATACGCTACTGATGAAGCCCGGGATTTCACACAGATTCATTCGTCCCACAAAATTAACGAGTACTGTGATGAAATACCCGCAGAAAATAATGATGGAGTTCGCGGATTTAACCTTGTCGGATTTAGAATTAAGAGCCTGAAACAGTGACGTAAAATTTTAAAATCCTCTGCCTTGGCCAATGTTATTAAACCAGTGGCTTTGGAAAACTCTAGCAGAGGCTAATTTCAGCTAATTTTCTCCGGTACATGAACAGCTGAGGCCGTTTAACGAATATGTTAGGAATATATTAATATCCACAAGAAGCCCAATTTATGATTTTCTTCGGGGAATTACTCCTTCAACGATTTTCATTCATTTCACAAGGTTGTCAGCGATTATGAGACGACCGCGTCCAAAAGCTCAGGATATTCAGAAAATCGTATCGTGCACAAAAAGCCAAAATAAGACTTGAAAAGTTGAAAAACCACTGCACTAAATTTGGAAGATTTGAAAAGTTCTCAGGAAAATGTTCACGAAACGAATACAGTACTGTATCATTTTTGAAATTGAACTTCTCGATTTACTTTTCGACCTTTTCAAACTTTAAATAAAAAGAGCCACTTTTAATTCCGTGCGTGTCACAAAGACTCAAAGAGGACAGGTGGAATTTGGAATTCAGAAGCTATGTTACGTTGAGAGAAATGCTAAATTTCCAAAAACTAGGAAAAATGTGTAGAAATTTCAATCGCCATTGTTTCAAGTTATATTTCTGATTTTTTTTTATCGGAAGAAGTAAGAAAAATGCCAACGACCTGTCTTCAAAAATCAAGGCAAAATCAAATGAATATTCAATTCTGACTTATGGGAAACCTTTTAAGTATTTTCCGCCGTCTTCTGTTTGAAGTGCATTTAAAACCATTAACCACGCATAGCCGGGACAAACCTAGTCGATAACCCTTCAGAATCTTGTCAGAGATCACGTGGCACTTTGTCTCGGGTAAATTTCATTCAAATCCTTATGTCAAGGAACCTAATGCTTTTAAAGTGAAAAAAGCAACATCATTCCAAAGAAAATTGGATGAGATGGAATTATGGGTATTTTTCAGTCACTGTAAATCATTTCAGTACTGTATTACTGCAGCTTAGCTTAAAAATTGGCTCACATTTTCAGGTCGTTTTTATGCTGAAATTTTTACTATTTTACGCTTCTTTATTGATAATTTTGAAGGTGCTCGAATACTGCTCTAAATAGTCTAAAATACAGCATCAGGGAAGAAAGTTTCGGAACTCTCGACTTTTACTAAACGAGTTCCCTGTCAAATAAACTGAGAAAAAACGAGCTTTTGTCCTTCGAAACCAATGTTCAAGAGCATGAAGCTGATGCCACGTTCATATTAGGTGAAAGCATAGCAAAATACCTAAAACTCAAATTATTGTAAAGTATTAAAAAGAACCTTCAATTAATCCTGCAATAATAGGATTCATAGCCTCTTCATTAATTCTAAATTCAAAACTTACGGCGATTGCATATTCACGGTACTAATTCCCTCTTTACACGCTGGATGATAATTAAAAGTCATCGTCGGATTTTACTTCGAGTACTCATCAGCACGAAATACTTTACGGCACTACAATTTTCGCAAAAAAGAAAGATAAAACGTACATTGCGGCCACGGCTTGACGGTTAAACCATGAATTCCTCCTGGGATACTGTACTTCGAGGAAGCACTCGACTTTTCTATCAAAGTTTCATATTTCATATGAAAGCCCGGAAGAATCTCGAGGTTTTTGGGAATATCCTTACCAGCAGTGAAAATCTTGCTGCCTGAATTTTCGAAGAACTCTTTACACCAGAAGCTTGGAGGTCATTGGCTTCAAAGGATCTTTCTAGCATTTCCAACCTCACAAATCGAAGTTCGTCGCAGGAAAAAAATAGCCGTTCAAAACACCAGGAAATGCGAAACTTGAGATTTGTCGAGCATCGGATTTCAGATACCGAATTCTTCAGTTTTCAACAACATACAGACTTCAATAAACATCAGGGAATGAGGTGCGATCAAAAAGTTCGTTGGATATTGCTGATGAGAAAATATGAAATTTAGTCTTGAAAACGCGAAGGTTTCTTTCATGTGGATTGCAAATTTCAGGATGTAAGAAGAAATTGAATGGTTGAGACGTTGTGTGCGTGTGCATCACTGTCGGAGGTTTTTTGTTTTGTTTTCAAAACTATCAAGTCTGGAAGTACCTGTACCAAAAAAAAGAAAAAAAAAGAAATTAAATACCGCACGTGGACCGCTCTTTTTCAAACAACGACAACCATTGAAAAGTTGTGGTAAACGCCACGGGGAATGTTCGAGAATTATTTTAGAGAAATCTGAACCTAGAGTACCAGTTATAATGCATGCACACTTATTCAAGAAAACGGGACAGCAGTAAGAAAAAAATGTTCTCAGGTGCAAGTGGAGCAGAGATAACAATTCCCAACTCGACTGACTTCTAGAAATTTTCGAATCTGGCAATAATTCTCAACTGGGCGAATTCCCGATAGAAAAATCGAAAGAACATCCTTGAAACCACTATAAAAACGTCTACAACATATATTTTTGTAATATTTGCAACATAAAGCGTAGCTCAATCAACTTCAAAAATGAACGGTGAAAACAGGTATTGTAGTGCAATAATGAATCCCGTGATTATTACAAAAATACTCCAGCTTACGAAAGTTGAAATTGCTTGGATTTCAACACGTTTCATTTATACCCAGAGCTCTGCAGGAAAGATTCCGAAATTGCACTCAGTAAGAACAACGAACACTTTTTTACTTACCATTGAATATTTCCTGAGTTCACAAAAAATTGCGAATCTTTCACAAGCACATGTAAGATAAACATTTCAGAAGTCCTCCGTCTACATTAAAAACTTGAAAGATATCTCCCTGATATACTTCTTTCAAAGGAAATGTAAATCTCAAGATTTTGTAGAAAAAAAAAACTCCACGGTTCAAATTTCGAGCAAAAAAGTGAAACACATAAAAAATAATGGAAGTACTGTTACTTCAACTGATTTCACCTTTTGGCTGCTTTGGAAAGAAAAGTATCCCAAAAAGTGCTTCAACACACTCAAGATATTCAAGTTTGGCAGAGAGGTCAATACTTTTCAAATTTCAGTTAAGTAAATAATTATGGAGGAGCAGTTCCATCATTTTTACAAATAATTTTAGTTCTCTCTTTCATTTATAAATCGCAAAACATCCAAATACACTCATTTTCATGCAAAAAGGGTTTCTTTTTCGTCGAAGATTCTTGGAAGAGATGTTTAAGAGGAACACTTGCAGATTTTACTGCGGAATATTTGTTTCCGACATTCAGCCTTACAAGTAATGCAAAAGTTGATTTCACCAGCCAAAAATCTTTTGTAAGCAATCTTTTTCAATCGCGAAGTCAAGAACAGCATGAAAAATAAAATCTAATGAAATTTTTCAATAGAAAAAAAAAATATGTCAGGGGAAGATTGATCAGTCAAGTACTGAGACCTTTGAAACGATTTAAGTTCTTTTTCACGCATGAGGAAGCAATTTAATCATTTTTCAGTTTAAAACTTCCGGTACTTGCTTTCCTTTTCAATAATCTACAGTGCTGCGTTTGTCCGAATGTTGCAGGGTAACGTTGAATTTTTTTTTTATTCCTGCAAAATGTATCTATAGACATTGTTAGTCGAGTTTCTGAAGTACAGTACTGTACTGTACTTCCTTACACGAATTTCATGAACTTCATGAAAAAACGGTTGTCCAAGTAGACGATGACAAGGACCACAGAGAGGCTGCAAATATTCGTAAAAGTAAAGGGGAACGAACTTCTACCGCGTGAGTGATTTCGGAGTTGATTCAATTTGTTTGGTAAGTTTTGATTTTGGAAACGCCCATTTCATCCGAAAAGTATCAAGTGGTTTAGAGTTTTAGACAACAACAAAATTATGCCGTGCACTACGAATTCAACCAGGTAAGAGCTAGAATATCAAGAAATATGTGATCGAGGTTCCGTCATTTATGTTATTTCGACTTGATTTCAGAGATACTCAAAATTTTTGAAAACTTATTCATTTTGTGTACCTCGAAATTCTTTGTAAACGCACCTAGATGAAGACTACAAAGATCACACAAATGCTACAAATGCGATGGGATGATAAGGCTTGAAGATTCTACGGCGTGGGTTCTTGGTTCATAACACTTTGAAAACATTCATTTCATCCAACGCAGAATGAATATAATGCGATCCGTTCTTAATTACATTTCAGAGTTCACTCAAGGGAATTTATCTCGAACATTTCTTAGAACCTATAAAAAAAAATTCTGTATTAATGCCTTACAAGTAATGCAAAAGTTGATTTCACCAGCCAAAAATCTTTTGTAAGCAATCTTTTTCAATCGCGAAGTCAAGAACAGCATGAAAAATAAAATCTAATGAAATTTTTCAATAGAAAAAAAAATATGTCAGGGGAAGATTGATCAGTCAAGTACTGAGACCTTTGAAACGATTTAAGTTCTTTTTCACACATGAGGAAGCAATTTAATCATTTTTCAGTTTAAAACTTCCGGTACTTGCTTTCCTTTTCAATAATCTACAGTGCTGCGTTTGTCCGAATGTTGCAGGGTAACGTTGAATTTTTTTTTTTATTCCTGCAAAATGTATCTATAGACATTGTTAGTCGAGTTTCTGGAGTACAGTACTGTACATTTTGGAAAAGGCATAAACAAATGAGAAATTATAAACGCACCGCTCAGCCACGAGGTTTTTCAAAACTTTCGAAGAATTAGGTTTCCAAAATCGATTTCAGTACTGTACATTTGAAATCGATTTTGGAAACCTAATTCTTCGAAAGTTTTGAAAAAACGTCGTGGCGGAGCGGTGCGTTTATAATTTCTCATTTGTTTATGCCTTTTCCTAAACGTACAGTACTTCCTTACACGAATTTAATGAAAAAACGGTTGTCCAAGTAGACGATGACAAGGACCACAGAGAGGCTGCAAATATTCGTAGAAGTAAAGGGGAACAAAATTCTACCGTGTGAGTGATTTCCGAGTTGATTCAATTTGTTTGGGAAGTTTAGATTTTGGAAATGCTCATTTCATACGAGAAGTATCAAGTGGTTTAGACTAGAGTTTTAGACAACAACAAAATTATGCCGTGCACTACGAATTCAACCATGTAAGAGCTAGAATATCAAGAAATATGTGATCGAAGTTCCGTCATTTGTGTTACCGTATTTCGACTTGAGTTCTGGGACTCTCAAAATTTTTGAGGACTTATTCATTTTGTGTACCTCGAAATTCTTTGTAAACGCACCTAGATGAAGACTACAAAGATCACACAAATGCTACAAATGCGATGGGATGATAAGGCTTGAAGATTTTACGGCGTGAGACATTTTCAAGCAGGTTCTTATTCAAGTAGGTTCTCAGTTCAAAATTTTCTGACTTTTAAAACATTCATTTCATCCAACGCAGAATGAATATAATGCGATCCGTTCTTAATTACATTTCAGAGTTCACTCAAGGGAATTTATCTCGAACATTTCTTAGAACCTATAAAAAAAAATTCTGTATTAAAATCCTCCGGCGATACTCGAGAATATTGCACACTGATTCTCAGGATTTCAGTATCGACACAGAATTATAAATGCGGCTTTTTATGTCTAACGGGAAATCTCAAGCTGAGCGTTCTGTTTGTTTCTCTTTTTCACGATTCTTTTCCATAATTATATATTTTTTGTTTCCTTGTAAACGCAATTCACGAAGAAAAACAGGGGGAATTGAGCAAGTGGGCATTGACAAAAGGACTATGTGTGATGCATATTTTGACGAGAATTCCATTTTAGATTAAATTTCTGGAAATTTATCTTCAACATTTTCAAGACCCTATAAAATACTGTATTCAAATCCTCCTACATTTTGCACAGCACTGACTGCCTGGCATTTGGAATAGACGGAGGGTTAGAAATTCTTCTTTTTTTATAATGGGGAATCTCAAACTGAGCGTTTTGTTTTTTTTTCTTCTATTTTCACATTTAATTTCCATTATAATTTTTTTATTGCTTTTAACGCAATTCACACTGAAAAAAATGGGCGGGTGGGAATTGAGCAAGTGGACATTGACAGAAGAACACCCCCCACTCTTTCACTTACCATGGGAGTAGTGGGAGTCGGGGTGGGTTTCGTCTCCACGACTTTCTGCAGCAACAGGCGCCCGTTGACATTGGACACGGGCAAGACCGGGTCCGACCGGGACCCGTATTCCACGTAGGCGATCCCAGCCAGGCTCGCCCAGGCAACCACGGCGATCAGCAGTTTCCACGGGTTCTTGTTGAACCTCTGCAGCCAGCAGGGGCACAGGAACCGACCCACTTTCCACATAGTCTCTCTCGCGATCAATCAGCCCTCTGCGCAAACAACACGGGAGACGGAACATACAGTATCTCTTTTACTCATCAGTCCCGCATCCACAGCACAACACGGAATTTTCCCCTTGATCACGACTTCCAGCTTCTTCGCAAAAAAGCACACACACACGAACACGAACACACGGGGAAAACGCGACGGAACGAATCGAAAAAACCTGGTGAAAGAATAATGCGATCGCTTCAATCAACAGCTGGTCGACGATTATTTTCTCATCAACATTTAAACAATATATTTTATGAATAATATACTACACCATTTCCGGAGTGCAGTGTGATATTGCGCATTTATCCTCGTGGATGCACCACGATCATGTGGATTGAAGACGAGAAACGTGATGGCTATTTAAACTTTATACCTTTTTATTCCACAACGACGGATCGTGTCAAGTCAAGGGTTCGACCTTCATAGGAAACGGAAATATCTATTCGTGTTCAATTAACCCGTCGAAGGAGGCGATTAAACAGAATCAATGCTCACGCGTTCCACTCATTTCCAAGACAACTTAAAACTCATCGAAATAAATTCATCTTTCAGAAAATATCCCTGAGTTTCTCAAAAACCTTCGCAATATTTTACATCGTCCCTTGGCTTCCAGCAAATACGGCATTAATCCTCTTTTTTCAACAGCTGTTGAACGTCACCTTCATTTAGATGTTGAAGCTTCTAGCTAAATGAATATTCTGAGGAAAATTATGCTGAAAACTAAACCTTGTCAATAATTTTTTACGTGCTGAATTTATATCGTCATTAAGGATAATTTTATTTTTGCGAAAAATCTCGAAATTATTGGTTACGACGAAATCCTTTCTCAAGTCTATGTCCAATAGCAATAATGCAATTTGAATTGCCTTCAAACAAATTTATCGTCATAAAGAAGCTGTTATCCGGGTCCCAACAGCATTGTTTTGATGAGATTTTACTTCAATTACAAGGGACGAATTTTAAATTGCAACTCTAGTTCGGAGAGCTTCTTATTCACCACTTGAATTTTACAAAATGTCCGACGGACATTATAGGATACACCACAGATGGTTTTAGGATTTGTTATTGTACTGTAATGCGTTAGGAGCGTTAGCTACTGTACTAATTTACAGTAACACTGTATACCGTATCGAAGACAGACACGAATACTTTTTCTTCAACAAATGGATGCAAGTTAAATGGAAACAAAAGGGGGAGAGTTTTAGAGTGAGTATTTTTTTAAGAGTTTAAAAAAAGGAGAGTTTTAAAACCGTATACTTCACAAGATTTTCAGATTGCCCTGACCATCAATCAATTGTGATGAAGAAAAATAAAATTTCCTTTACTGGAAATGGGTACAGCACTTTCATATCCCGGAGAACCAGATATTATCGAGTCATTTAACCCAACCAGAAATACTTCAGAATAACCCAGAATTACGCCTCGATGGTTGCAAGAGAGAGAATAAAAATGAACCCGAACACGAAGCAACAATTGACCACGTCCTTCACTAAATCAACTTTTCATCTACTACGAAACTCCTAGTTTTCAGCCTCGGGTGTAGCATTGCATGGTTTCAAAAGTACAGTAAAGTCGAAAGGAACACTTTTCTCATTAGGAACCATATGCATAATAAATATATACCGTACGTTTCATTTTTTAAACTCGTGATGAGTTGAATCGTTGAAATTATTCACACTACGCACAAAATTCTCGCTGTGAGGAATGTCCGTTCAATACCCTGCACCTCAATAACTACCCGGAATAATCAAGAAAACTTAAGACAGGTTTGAAAATAAATAAATAAAACTTCTTCACATGAACCAATAAAGCAAATCACGGTTGTTTTTCTTCCCTACGCCGTTTTTCGGTTGGGTGCTTTCGTTATCAGTCTCGCAACTTTTCTCCTGACATTGCCTCAAGGCACACCCCAGACTAGACAGCCTCAGCACCTGTCTACACCGATCCGGCAACACCATAAAGATAGATACCACCACGGAACCATCTTAAATTCCCGGAGGAATCGCTGGAGAGTCGGAAGCGACGCGACGAACCGGAACCGAGAAAGCTTTACCACACAGTGAAAACGAATTGTGAGGGAAAAGTACAGTTGAGATTACAGTATTAAAAAAAAAGGCCACAGACACACACGGATGAGTGATAGGTAATAGTGGGTCGGGGGAATAGCTGAGGCGCGACTGGAGTCAAGGCCGACGGGGGAGAGAAAAAGACCCGACGTCATGATGCAGCTGCTGATGGAGAAAGAGAATCCCCTGGAGGCTAAACTTCCTCCACTACTTCTTCTTCTTCTTCTTTGCAGACCAACATTTTTTCTTTCGTTTCTTGTTCATTTCCCGGGAAAAAGAGAACCCGCATTATTATGCTGGAACACTCCCAGAAAACGTGCGAATCAATCCCTTTTTCCTTCCGGGGCGGGTGGAAAATTGAATAAAAAAAGAAAACCGCCTCTCCCATTTCCGAGCCCCGAGATTAAATTATTTCCGGACACGAAGGGTTCTGAAAATCAATTAAAATAATGAAACAAAATGCGCCGTCTTCGCGCTCTTAATAATTATATATATTTTTTATTGATGACACAGAAGCATCCGGGTCTAATCGATTATATGGTATTAACTGACGTCCGTTGTGCCTCGCGGACAAATTTCTGCACACCTAATGATTTCGAGAGGGATAGAAGAAAAAGCTTTCCATGCACGTCTTCAAATTTCACGATGGAATTTGTTTATATTGTAGAACAGGTCCAAAGTCTGACACGTGTCTTGCCGCGTAAAAAGTGAATGCGAACATGAAGCGAGTACTGTACATTAGATTTCAGGATTGCGTCGATCGGATGGGTTAAATTTGAAAATCATAGAAAATGATACGAGCATCAAGGTCGAAAACCATTCTTTGGCTTCATCATTGACTGACCCGAGAAGAATCGATGAAATTCAGGACAAGCCCTCCGTTCATTTTGTGAAGGGCATGACAGAAAACCAGCACTTCGGTACCACCGAATATTTTCGCTTTCCTTTCGCCACCGCGGCAAACGACTCAAAATGTAAAAAAATTTGAAAAGTCTTAATAAAATTTGGACACATCACTAAGCAATAAAAATGTCGCCAGGCTGCTTACTTATAAATCAGTCTAATTTACAGTACATAGAAATAAGAGAACTCGCGAGTAAAAAACCCTCAGCTTCCAAGAAATCAGGCGACAATTTTCCCTCATCCGCACATTTTTGAAAGATTTATTCGTCGATCACATCTAAACATCCCAAGTTTTCAAAATTGCACATTCAAGCGAAAAACGGAAAGAAATTCACTATATCGAAAAGTTTCATGTAAAAATTACAACGAGGCTGGATATATCAGTTATGAATCGGTACTTCGCCGTTTTTTACTCAGCACATCCATTCGGTCTGCGTTTATTCACCAGCAAAAAACTGACAGCTTCAAAAATTTAGGAATTCAGGCGATTTATAATGACTTGCACAGGGTAATGTCCGTATATAACTGATTAAAAATACATTATTTATTTTCTTATAGAAATCTAAATTTTAGTCAGCATATTAAGCAACGGAAGTAAGCATATTTCCTTCAAGACTTTCGGACAAACTCAGTTCGGAAATCAGCTTTTTTTCCCAATTCAGCAATGGATCACTTCAGCACAAACACGTTTAACGTCGCGAATAAGAAAGCAGCATTTGAAAAATAAATTTTATCGATTCTTTATTTCAAATGATCGTACCCCAAATGAGTGCTCTTTGATTTCTCACATTTTTTTTTTCGCTCAGTGTCTTGCAATAGATGAAGTTCACCAAGAATGGACTGAGAAGAGACAAAGGTTAGGAAATGTAAGGACAGGTGAATATAAGAAAGCAGAATTTGCAAAAGAAATTCATCGATTTTTGCATTCATATTGTCGTACTCTGAGTGAAAGCTTTTTGCTTATTCTTGCGCAGCGTCGTCAGAATTCGCAGAAGGAAATTTATCGATCCTTGAATTCAAATTACTGTACTCCGACTGAGTACTCTTCTCTTGCTCTGATTTTATTTATTTTTCTTGGTGCACTTGCAGAAATGAAGTTCATCAAAAATGTACCAAGGATACTGTACTCCGACTGAGTACTCTTCTCTTGCTCTGATTTTATTTATTTTTCTTGGTGCACATGCAGAAATGAAGTTCATCAAAAATGTACCAAGGAGAGACCGAGGTTAGGAAATGTAAGGACAGGTGAATATAAGAAAGCAAATTTTGAGAAATTAAATTTATCGATTTTTGCATTCATATTGTCGTACTCCGAGTAAGTGCTTTTTGCTTTCAAACAATATTTTCTTTTTGCGCAGTGTCATCAGAATTCGCAAAAGGAAATTTATCGATCCTTGAATTCAAATTACTGTACTCCGACTGAGTACTCTTCTCTTGCTCTGATTTTATTTATTTTTCTTGGTGCACTTGCAGAAATGAAGTTCATCAAAAATGTACCAAGGAGAGACCGAGGTTAGGAAATGTAAGGACAGGTACTCAGGGTAAGGAAACCCGACATTTCCTTCTTCCTCCTCCGACTCCACCCCAGCAGAGTCACGACACGACACTCTGCATAAAGCAGCATTAGCCTCGAGAAATCCTGGCAACTGGTGCCACATTGATTTATCTTTTCGCGTCTCCGAGACACTCTCAAGTAGGGCGACAGCTGGCCCCAGATGCCAGGGCACAAGCAAGGGCCCGAAATAGACATACAGCATAGAAAAAATATATATATTAAAAAAGGGGGGTGTCTGTCGTCTCGCCTGACAAGGCACTCAAGGAGGATGGAAATAACTACTGATGACACACACACACAGACACGATTTTCTACGCGAAAACACAAATCCTGATTTCTTCCAACAGGAGCTGAAAGTCGCGTACGTTTCAATTTTCGGAAATAGTTTCCAAAGATAATTCCAAATTATGCAACAAGAAGAACAACGAAAAATGAAGACACAGCAAAACAGATTTTTACACGTCGATTCCGGAACACCTATACACCCGTGAAAATAATTTTCTATGACTAATAAATCGATGACAGAGTTTTCAAACCATTCACAAGAAATCCCAAGAGGATATTCAAAACGAACA